CGACGAACCCGTTCCCCGAACAAGGAAGGATGTTCTCTCTCTCTCTCTCTCTCTCTCTCTCTTTCGCCCCCAACGGGAGAGATCAGTCCTCCTCCTCTCTTTCTCCCGGAACCGGACAGACACTCCGCACACGACAGGGTCGGCGGATTTACTCGCTTCGCTCATTCCGCCGGCCCGTACTGTGCCGTCGCAGGCGTTTGCCTGCGCGTTCGTGGCCTGTTGGGGCCTCTTGGGGGCCCCTTGGGGGCCCCTTGGGGGCCTCTTGGGGGCCTCTTGGGGGCCTCTCAGGGCCGAGAGTTTGGAATTTCCGTTAAGGTTTCCCCTGTGGGTCCCTTGTTGGGGCCGTCCTGGGGTTCTTTTGGGCCGCTTGAGCGTCTATGGGGCCGTCTTGATGCCCTCTTGGGCCGCCTTGGAGCCCTTTTGGGCTCTCTCCATTTTGGGGGCGTGTTGGGCCGTCTGGGGACGATGTTCGAGGCCTCTGGGGCAATTCTGGACCCTGTGAACCCCCAAACGTCGCATATGCAGAATATGTACGTTGTCCGAAGGGAATGGGGCGATGTTTGCTTGCTGGGGCCCTGTTGCAGAGCCTCTTGGGGCTCTCTTAAGCTTTTTCGCGGCCTCTGGGGCCATCCGGAGACCATCTTGAGCGTCTTGGAACGATCGTTCGGCGATTCGGGGCCTCTTGGGCCGTATAGGGGGCGTCCCGGCGCCCTCTTGGCGCGCTCCTGCAGCGCCCTGGGGGAGTCAGCCGGGCATCGCCTGGGCATCGGACGGGTTTTTTGTTCGTCCAGGGGTCCCCAGGGGCCGCCACGCGCGCGCGAACTAGGAAGACTGTTCACCTGTCACCGGAGATCTTAGCACTACTCTGGCACGTTGGGCCGCCGAATTTGTGCGTCCCTGGGGCCCTCTTAGAGGAGGAGGAGGAGGAGGAGGAGGAGGAGGAGGACGAGGAGGAGGGGGAGGAGGAGCAGGAGGAGGAGGCGGAGTCTGTCTGTCTGTCTTACCCATTCGAGCTCCACAAGTCTGAACTGCTGACTACTCGCTCTGGGCCACGGCTCTTCTCGCCAGATCTCTCTCTTTGGGGGTGCTCACGCTCCCGAGAGGCCCTGAAAAGGTGAAAACAACGCTGCGGACAGGGGCCTACTGGGCCCTAAAAATGTCCAGAGTGGCTCTCGAAAGCGGTGGAGCGGCACCCAGCACTTCGCTGGAATGCCCCACGCGGGGCGGGCATTGGCTGAGAAGCCGTGCTCCCTCAGCTTACCCCAAGCACGACGGGGACACAAAGGCCACTCCCGTCGTGCAAGGGCGGCTGAAAAGCACAAGGTGTCACAACCCCTACAGGCTACTTGCCATTCTTTACAAGACGCACTAACTTTCCACGGGGGGCCCGACCTGGCTTATTGTTGAAAGAAGCCCGAAATAGCTGATACAAAAACTGCTCGCAAGTCACTACTTTACCTCATCCTCCTCCTAAGATCATCTCCAGCGGTCTGCGCAGGACGAGGGCGGCGGCCTTGTCCTTTTGCTCCTTTTCCGCGGCCCCGTCCTCGAGCGTGGCCCAGCTCTCCCTCTGCTGGTTGAGGAGGTTGACGGCCGAGGGCTCGGGGTCTTGGATCAGCATGCTTTCACCGTGATCCGACCGATGCCGCTGTCCTGGGTGTTCGACGTGCCGCACTCCTTGATCCACATGCTGGCCATCGGCATGCTGGCCTTGTTCATCATCAACATCAGAAGCGCGGCAAAACTCTGCAACTCTGGAGGCCCTAGTCCGTGCGTGTTCGCCTTCCCTTCCACCCGTTTCTGATACTCTTGATTGGTCGCCTTCAACAGTCCGATCTTCTCGTCGTCGCTGGGTCCGTACACTACGAGACCTGCTCCGAACTCCAGCGTCCGAATGCGTGACTCCAATTGGCGTAGCAACTTGGCATTGGCGTGGTTGTCGTCGTTCTCGGACTTGCCCTTCTTCGAGCCTTCCACTCTGTCGGTCCCGCCGCCCTCTGTGTCCCGCTAGAGAGCGCTGGGAAGAAGCCAACTCGCCATAATAACCTAGTGCCTCTTGGAGGCCAGGTAGTTCAAACTCCAGAACATGTGAGTGTAGGTGTGTCTGCAAATGCTCGACCAGTAGATGTCTACGGAGATCAGCGTTATCGAGTCCAACATACTCGCAAGCCGGGCAATCGTAAGCTTTTGGGAGGATGATCGTGCCATCTGTTCTCCCCCGATCTGTGTCACATATACCTTTCAGCATACTATTGTGCATGTGCCTCTTAGCGTAGTCGATAGACGAGAAATTCGAACCAGAAATAACACACTGGCTTGAAAAATAGTGTGCTTTGATACCTCCTACATCCAATTGCGTGGAATCCTCCTTCCCCTCGAATCTGATCTCCTCCACTCCATAGATCTCTAGCAGCCTCGCACCATCGTCGAAAAGCTCTATGGTTTGAATGTCATCGTACAGCTGCTCACACCACGGACTCGCTCTCTCGTCCTCGCTCGTGTACTTGTCGATTTCGGTTCGGTCGTCGACCCGAGAGCGCCCGAAAACCACCGCCAGGAACTGAGCGAATCGGTCGTGTTTCCGAAGACACTGTTGAAGCCATCTGAGCCGTCGTACTCGCATTTCAACGTGGGGAGCTGCTAGCCTTACTCGGGCTAAGACCTGGAGGTTGGAGAGGGTGCGGATGGCACCGTCTTCTTTATCCTGTGCAACACCCCGCAGCAATATCTTTGCACGCATTGCGAGGAAGCTGAGAATGAGCTGCCAGTCGTGTGCTCGCATCGGCCCTGTCTTGGCGCAGAGCACTTCTGCTTCACTGTAGCATGCATTCGCCACGTAGCCCTTGAGTACATTGATCTTCCAGCCAAACGGTACCTTGCTGTTCCAGAAACGTCCAAGATTGTACCATGCCGATCGCCCTGCCGCCAGTCTATATTCCAGTTCGCACAGAGCGAATCTTGAATGGATGCGCGGGCACAAATATCTTGCATATACCTTCGGTCTACCGTCCAAACACTGCTCACGTCAAAACTTAGAGATACACTGAGTTCTGACCACAGAAATACAAGAGCTTCTCCTGCTTGCTCACATGTTGTGCCATCTTGATCTCTGTCATGCGTCCTGTGATGACTGAGTTCTGAAACTTGCCTTCGCTGATGATGGACTCGCTGGTTGTTTTGACATCGAAATTGTCGGCAGCATCGTCAACATACACCCACTTCTTAGACCAACGACATTGAAAGCTGCTCTGCTTGTAGCTCGCCACGTTCACAGAGCCCATGGCCATCTGCCTGGAGTAAGCACCAACGAAAAGCCGTACCATGGCAGGATCTCCAGAAGGACACCCTTGCTGAAGCCATAGCACACTGCCCGTTGTATCTCCTGGAACCGTGAAGCATGCCAATTGAACTCGAAACTTCATCAAATGGCAATCTTCCTCTCGAACCAGAAATTCCACTTCCTCACACAAGACATCGCGATCGATACAGTAGAAGGCGTTTGTAGCATCATGGAGTCGCTTCACATGTGACTGATGATGTCGATTCTTGCGCCAAGAGTAAGCTTGTTGTACAATCACAGCCGCCTCTCGACGCCGTCCTGGGAGACACCCATAAATCCACGATTCTGGTTCTGGTGAAGCCCCTCGCGCCAGCAGCGAACGGTAATACGCCTTCGCCACCGTGCACACCAGCATAATCAATCTTTCGCCGTCGACTCCCTCCTTCTCGTTGCCTTTGCCAATCTTACAAGCGTCCGATAGAATCCAAGATAACTTCCCGCTCTCTCTGATCCCACGAAACAAGCACCACAGGATGAAATACACAGGGTTCGCCGTTAACTTTTCTTGCTCCGTCTCGTATCCAATACCATGATATTTTGTTTGTCGCCTTTTGTTGGCCCAATTTGGAAACATAGCTGCACGCAAAAACTCAGCACATATACTCTCCTGTGGCGCCACTCGCCATAATCTGAGCCGCCAAACCTGATGTTTGAATGCATCCACGTCGTCCTGCGTTTCCTCGGCCGTGACTGTGTTGGTTTGCTCGGGCAGATGGTGCACCATTTGAAGCATTGCGTCGTATCTTATCACCTGCACTGAAGCCCCACCTTCCTCCACCGCCATCGTATAACCCGTCTGGTTCTTGACCCGCGCCGCCTTCGACAAAATATGATCGTGGACCACCTTCGTGAACTCCTCCCTTTTGTAGCCCCGCTGCGGCAGGGCACTGGCCGCCGTCGGCTCCACTCGAACTTGCTTCTCGGCATGCGGCATAAGCTCCAGCTGCTTAGACCATTGAACACCGATGCCAAGAGGAAGGTGATCCCATTCTCGTCCCCACTTGTGCGGCTGCAATCTGCGCATACTCCTCTTGAATGTCGTGCACCATCGTACTGCAGGCAACAGGGCAATGTAGTCCAGCGTTTACGTCGTACCACTTGATGCCACGAAGGTGTATCCTGCATCTCTCATTGTGTTCACCATGCAGAGCTCGTGGGCTGAGAGAACACTTCTCAACAACTGTGCCGATTTCTTTTCATCCTCGCCGTGGCCGAAGAGCCCGATAACTCCCTCTGTCTCCTCAGTGAAAGTGGAATTCAAATCCATTGTTAGTACTGGTATCCAGCGTCCTGCAAGAGCATCGAGCGTTTTGGTTGCCTCGCATGTGTTGGAGTACCTCAGCTGGTCCTCCTTCTCCTGAGTGCCGATGAGGCTCACCACCGTCACATTGTGCACGCCCACGGGTTGCGCTGTTGGGGTTGTAAGCGACGATGCGTATCTGCCAAGAAGCGCCGCTGAGCACTCAGACGACATGGCGACATGCTGCTGTGTCTGCTTGCATTTGTGAATTTCTGAAGTGGCGCGCGGCTGCTCAAGCCTCACACGGCCACTTGGAGGAGGCGGAGGAGGAGGCGGAGGAGGGGGCGGGACGAAAGGCGGGCGGGACGAAAGGGAGGACGAGGAGGGGCGAGGCGAGTCTCCACCGCGGTCCCCCCCCAGGGCTGGGCACGTGGACGGCGGAGTTCTCCGCCACCGTCAGCGCGTCGACGGGACAGGCCGCACCCATCGGTATCGCCGTTTACCGGATCCCCATCCCCATCCCCATCCCCGTCCCCATCCCCATCCCCATCCCCATGCCCATGCCCATCCCCATCCCCATCCCCATCCCCATCCCCATCCCCATCCCCATCGTCGTTTAACGGAATCCCATCCCCATCCCCATCCCCATCCAGACCCGCCGCGTCCTTGCACCCCAGTTGGGGGTGCACACCTCGGAACGCGAATGGAACGGCCTATATCCCCATCTGGGGGGTCAATCGGCCATTGGGGCCCAGGCCACGTTCATGGGGGTAGGGGTCGGTTAAACGATGCTCATCCTGTGGCCTGGGTTCGAAGAAGAAGAAGAAGAAACGCCATAAACATAAACTGTTGGCGCTCCGCGCGGATTTCTCGGATCCGATCTGGGCCCCCCCGGGCGGCGCCTCCGGCGCCGCCCTTGACGCGCTCCGCGCGCCAGGGAGGGGGGTCCAGCGTAGATCCCAGAAATCCGCGCGGAGCGCCAAAAGTTAATGTTTATGGCGTTTTTTCTTCTTCTATGGGTGGCACGAGTGGGAGATGGCCCGCCAGGCGGGATTGCCAGGTGCCAGTAGCGTTGACGACCACGATGCCCCTGGCTGTCTGGGCGCCCGATAGTTCTCTGAGAGCGCTATCGGTCGTCCTCATGGCCACCCCAGGGGAGCTCTTGCTCGCGAGATCCGTGAGACCTCGAGCTGTAGAATCCGGAGGGCCCCGAAACGGCCCCCAGAGCCCGAAACGGCCCCAACACGGCCCCATGGCTCTCTCTCTCTCGCTCTCTCTCTCTCTCTCTCTCTCTCTCTCTCTCTCTCTCTCTTTTATCTATATATATATATATATATATATATCTTTCTCTGTTCCTAATTGCCACCAGGTGCGCTCGAGGGCGTAGGCTTGATTCGCCCGAGTCTCGATTCGACTGGCTGGATTCGCCCGGCTCGATTCGCCTTGGGCTCGATTCGCCCGAGTCTCGATTCGTTTTGGGCTTGATTCACCCGGCTCAATTCGCCTGAGGCTCGAATCGCCCGGCTCGATTCTCCCAGGCTCAGTTCGCCCGAGTCTCGATTCGCCCGGCTCCATCCGCCCGACACGGCCCGCCAGTTAGGGTGACCCTTCCATAAGGGCTCGCGCGTGCTAACTCGATGATACGTCCAATTTTGATGTCCCGCCCGCCCGATCCGACCCGCCACCCGCCCGACCTGACCCGACCGTCAGGGCCCGCCCGCCCGTTAGGGTTCGCGCGTGCTACATCGATGATGCGTCCCACTTTAATGTTCTGTCAGGGCTCGCGCGTGCTACTTCGATGATGCGTCATACTTCTGTGTCCCGTTCGCCCGAATTTCCGGCCGCCTCGACTGACTCCGCCGCGCTGCTGCGCGCGTTGGTAGCCGCGACGCCTGAAAGTAAGTGCATGAATGTGAGTGTGTGTGTGTATGTTGTGTGTGTGTGCGTTTGCGTGTGCATGTTGTGTGTGTTGTGTGTGTGCTGTGTGTGCTCGGTGTTGTGTGTGTGTGTGTGTGTGTGTTTGTGTACGCGTTTGTGTGTGTGCGTGTGCGTGAGCGTGTGCGTGTGCGTGTGCGTGTGCGTGTGCGTGTGCGTGTGCGTGTGCGTGTGTCTGTGTCTGTGTCTGTGTCTGTGTCTGTGTCTGTGTCTGTGTCTGTGTCTGTGTCTGTGTCCGTGTGTGGGCATCGCTCGGACGTGTGTAATGTTCCCCGGCGAGGACCATCGAGGAGCAGTTTGGGTCATCTTGCAAAAACATACTGAGCGCACGACGTCGACCAATGCGAGGGGCATGGAGGTCCGAGCGATGGCACGGTGCGTGAGGGTGTGGTGCCCCCGGGCCCGGCGGCCCGCACGGCCGTGGGGCGGCCCGTGCAGCACGGGCCCCGTGCGTGCAGTGGAGGCCCATGCGGTTGGGGCGGGGGGCCCGCTGACGTGCCAGGCTCGTTGGGTCCGCGGAGGTCCCCTGGGGGCCCCTTGGGGCACCCAGGGGGGGGCTCCAAGGCCCGCGTTCGGCGACGTGCGGCCCGCGTATGCAGCGACGTGCGTGCGACGACGCACGAGCACGTTCGCGGCGGCGCGCGGCGGCGGGCGACGAAATGCACAGTGGGAGGCCACATGCCAAGAAGCACCCTGCTTGCCTCCAAGGTGCCCTGGTTTTCTTGGGTTTCGATGGTTTTGCTGTGGAAGGCGTCACGTTCCCACACCAAAAATCCATGGACGTCCTGGGGCCTCAGGGGGCGGTTTCTTGTGGAAAGGTTCTTGTGGACTGACCTCCGCTGTAGTGGACAGAGCGAATGAGCTTCTTCACCTGGCTGCGAGGCGAGAGCTTGGTGTCAAGCCGGTGATTTGAAAGCAGACCCGATCGGGGCTCAAGAGGCAGGGGTCCATGCACACGGGGGTCGGTCAGGGCGCCCTATCTTGCAGGATCCTGCAGAGCCAGGGGCGCACTGACCCTGGCTTGGGTGCAGGATCTTGCAGGATCCCGCAGGATCCTGCAAGGCCTGACTGACGCGGGTCTGGATTGACCCGGGTCAGCAGACCCCCGATCCGAGCCGAATCATCAGCTCAGAGTTTCCTCTTCTCCGCGGCCACGGGCTGTGAGTAGCGCGTGGCGGCGCTCCGTGAATGGATCAGAGTCCGCCAGGCCCAGGCTAGTCAAGTCAAGTCCAGTCGAGGGGCCTGGAGGCCGCTCGCTCCGCAAGCGGAGACGGAGGGCGTGAAACAGTACGGCAAGAAATCGCGCACGCCATAGAGATGGTGGGTATGAATATCGATACAAAACTCTGTATCACATAATGCGTTCCACCACGTGTAATTCAGACCAGGGCTGGACCTAAACGGTGTTTTTTGCGATGTCGTGGGCCGTTTTCGTTTCGACTTCGTTTTGCGGTAGAGGCGGAGTGAAGACAGAATACGGGGGAAAGCGAACACAAGACGAAAACGAGAACGAAGCACACCGTTTAGTTTCGGCCCTGATTCAGGCATGCAGTCTCCAGCCGCTACCAGGGGGAAGGCTCTTGGCGACCTGCAGCACGTGACAGACAGGCCCCGGCGGAGGAGGCGTGAGCCCTTCGGGCGGGGGGGGCAGGCGCCCCGTCGCGGGCCTCCTCGGGCGGAGCTCCCCCCCCCCCCCCCCTTGCCAAGCGCTGCCCTCCAGAATTCCAATGCCGTGACTCGCGGGCAGTTTCCCTCGGGGGCTGCCCCGAGCAAATGTTGGCCTCCTCCCTCTAGCCGTTGTCTCCCCCCCAGCTTTTGTTGCCCTTCCTTTCCCTCCCTCCTCCATCCACCTCCCTCCGCATCCTCCCAGCTCATCATTACTGAAGTTTTGCACGACGCGGGCCTTTCGGGAGGATCCTTGAGAGGTTTTGTAACCCGTGGAACCGTCCTGGAGGCATCGTTTGTGACATCGATGAGGCATTTTGGACGCCATCTTCGTCCGACTTGGATGACATTGTGCCATCTTGGAGCCCTTCTTGGGGCATCTGAGACAATCTTAGAGTCATCTGTGGCCCAAACGGATCATCTGCCACGTCGCGGCACCCCCTGTCCAGACCCAGGGGAGAGTGATGGGCCTGTTTTCCACCACCACCACCACCATAGGCAGGAGACGGAGTGGTCCCTCCTCCTCCTCCTCCTCCTCCTCCTCCTCCTCCTCCTCCTCCTCCTTCCCCCCTCCAACTTGTGGTGGTGCTGGTGACCCTGGTGGGAGACACGCCCATCAGAAAGATTTCCTAAGTAGAGCGGGCTGGCCCCTCCGACCGCCCCTCGGCGACAGCACCGGCGTGTCACGCATCCGCCGTGGCCCCGGCAGGCCAAGACGACAAGACGATGCCGACTCCGACATGGCAGTCACGATGGCACGAGGGGGTCCAAAATGGCCTTCCGCTGGGTTTCCAGGAGGCCTGACGGCGCCACGACTCCCCAGGATGGCCGCGAGAGGCCCAAACTGCTCAAGAGCTGGAGTCGTTCAGTGATCTGGGCCTTATCGCCTTCGATGGGCTCTTCAGGCCAAGGCCCAAGATCGCCCAAGAGAAGTTGCAGAAGCGGCCAAGACGGGTCCAGATGCCCTCACGATGACTGGACGACAAGCGCCTAGCCCCAGGAGAGCTCAACATCGCGAACAGACCAGGACTCCGAGATTTCGCCCCGTCGTTCGATGTTCTCTCCGCGGACGCCCAGGCCCGACACCAAGTGCACAACTCCTACAGCTATTGCAGCATGCTTGGTTTCCAGCTCCAAGAACAACCAGTGGCTACCAGAGCCAAGGTCCGTCACGGACCCAGCCGTGGACAGGAGACGCTGGGAGAGAGTCTTCCCCTCGGGCCCCGATAGGCCCAAACAGAGCCCCGAAGAGAGCCCCGACCGGGCCCCCAAGGCACCCCAAAAGAGATTCGAGAGAGCCAGCCCTCGTGTCTCAGGGCGCCTTCGAGGGCGCGAAGTCATCCGCGCTTCCCGCTTCGGCTCTGATGTTCCTCGTGCTCCTCTTCTACCCTGGGGTGGCGGCGCGAGAGCGAGAAGCTGTTCGCGCTCCGCGCAGCGCGAAGTGCGAAGCCGGGCGCCCCTGCACATCCGAGGCCCCGGCGCAGCGAGGACTGCGAAGGCCCTGCGGATGGTGCCGCCGACCCGGAGAGGGGGAACGACGACCACGGCGGCGGCGGCGGAGAAGACGACGACGACGCTGACGTGGGTCAGAGTTCTCTCAGGAGGGGAAAAATCACACAGACACAATGCATCGTCGACTCCCCCGAAGATGCGGGAAAATAATATGGGAAGTGTGGGGGAAGGCAAAAACCAGGAACATGTGGGGAAATATGTATGGGGAATCGGATGATTCGTGTCTATTTGTGTGGTGTGTGTGTGTGTGTGTGCGTGCGTGCGTGTGTGTGTGTGTGTGTGTGTCCCAGGGCCCCTCCATTCTCATGGATGCCTCTTGGCGTCTCGTCGAGGCGCTCTCGGGGGCTTCTCCGAGGCTGCGCCTGGCCTCGTGCTTGCGCGGCTGGCCAGGGGCGGCCACCGCGGCAGACCTCTGTGGCCGCGTCCGCTCCACGGGCGAGCGGGGCACGGCTGCAGCGCGGCGGGGCACCGGTCAGCCCGCTCACACGTCGGTCGTTGAGACCCAGGTGTTCTGGGGCTCCCAGATCCAGATCTGCTGCACGCGCCTTCCCGCTTCAATGATGGTCGATGCTCTCTTGAGGCGTGCTTGTCATTTTCTGGGAGCGCCTGAACCCAATCTACTTGATCCGCCTTCCTACTGCATGTTGTTACCTACTTCTCCCGACCGACTTGCACCCCCTTGCATCATTGCCCCTTCAGCCCATCCTTGGTGATTTTCGCTGGCCAACCTCGTTCGGCAAACGTTCACACGGCCCTACAAGGCTCTTGCATCCCTGCCGCGCCTGATTGACTGAAGAGGGGGAGGGGTAAATCCTTCCCTGAATGGGAAGGAGTTCGGACGAGCTAACCCTCTGAGCCGTCTACGCCCAGAGGGCGGGGGGGATTCTAGAGAGGGCCGTTTGGTTAGCAATGGCCTGGTATACTGCGCCTCGTAGACTAAGAAAGTGGTGACCGCGGGCACGCCGGGTGACCGCGTCCATCCGAAAACTCCATGCACGTGATAGTTTACGAAATTGGAATCTCTTGTGGCATTCATTGCGCAGTTTCCCTTCCCGGGCCCAGAAGGGCTGGAACGTCCCACCCCTGGGGAATCTCAGAATTCCTGACCCCCACGAAAGTTCACATGCGTTGGGTCCTCGCGCCCAGGGTCACGATTTTCAATAACAATCGCTAGAGCAGCGTTCCAAAGGCAGCCGTCCTTCATACGAAGCGTTGGGCCGTCGCTCCCAGGGCAGAGATACTCCATAGAACACTCAACCCGAGCTCCAAGACGCACGGCCCGTCGTGAGATGCAGGAGGATCCTCGCTCTCGGGGTACCGGTCCATCCGAACGTGCGCTGGACCCTCTCGAGGCGACGAGCCTTCGCAGCATACACTGGGACCACAATCCCCTAGCCACGACATCTCGGAAAACTTGCCGGATCCTCGTTCCCATGGACACGACCATTTTTGCAGAACACGGTGAATTGGCGCATGCCATGCCATGATCCTTCTCATTCCAATGTCGTAAGGGTCCTTCTACGAAACCTTGGGAGTCATCTGGAGAACAGAACCGAGCAGAAAAGCGTGTGCGAGGGAGGCTCGGCTTGCCCTGAAGTCTGCGTTTCCTCTTTGAGGACTCACTGGCACCCTCATGCCCTGACCCCTCATGCTGGGGCCTGGGCTGGCGCCTCATGCGTTGACACCCTCATGCTGGGGCATTGGCCCTTCTTGTGTTGACCCCTTCCCGCTCCAAATGCTACCCCTAACTGGGCAGCCCTTCCCGTGTGCCACCCCTAATTCGTGTAGTCAGTTCTTTTCTCCGCACGCGCTACCCTCACCTTGGCATGCGTTGGCATGCATTGGCATGCGTTGGCATGCATTGGCTGCGTTGGCATGCATTGGCTGCGTTGGCATGCAGTCGCATGCGTTGTCATGCATTGGCATGCGTTGGCATGCATTGGCATGCGTCGACATGCACTGGCATGCATTGGCATGCGCTGGCATGCATTGGCATGCATTTTCATGCATTGGCAGGCATTCGCATGCATTGGCATGCATTGGCATGCACTGGCATGCAGCGGCACGCGTTGGCGTGCTACGGCACGCGTTAGCATGCATTGGCATGCATTGACATGCATTGGCATGCGTTGGCATGCGTTGGCGTGCGTCGGCATGCATTGGCATGCATTGGCATGCATTGGCATGCATTGGCGCACATTGGCATGCATTGGCGCGCGTTGGCATACATTTGGCATGCGTTGGCATGCAATGGCATGCGTTCGCATGCGTTGGCCTGCAGTGGCATGCATTAACATGCGCTGGCATGCACTTGCATGCGTTGGCATGCGCTGGCATGCGTTGGCATGCGTTGGCATGCGTTGGCATGCGTTGGCATGCATTGGCATGCATTGGCATGCGTTGGCATCGCGCATTGGCATGTGTTAGCATGCGTTGGCATGCGTTGGTTTGCATGGGCATGCGTTGGCATGAATTGGCATGCATTAACATGCATTGGCATGCATTGGCATGCGTTGGCATCGCGCATTGGCATGCATTGGCATGCGCTGGCATGCGCTGGCATTTATTGGCATGCGTTGGCATGCATGGGCATGCATTGGCATGCGTTGGCATGCATTGGCATGCATTGGCAGCCCTCCCCGCGTGCTACCCCTAATCCGGGCAGCCAATTCGTCCTTGTTGGGGCTACTAGCCAGGGCGAGCCCTCGCTAGCAACCCCTACTAACAGGCTGCGAGTTGGGGTGCAACCCAAGCAGACCTGGCAGTTTGGTCAGTGATCCTCCTCCTCCTCCTCCTCCTCCTCCTCCTCCTCCTCCTCCATCCCGCGGATGTCCGACAACGCTCCGCCGTCCTCCCACGGAGGCGCCAGTCCTCGCCCCTCTGCTCCCGGCCCCTCCCTCCCTCCCCAGTAGCGCACGGGCAAGTACACGCCCCGCCTCCCGACTCTGCTGGAGAGTGCGCTGCAAATGTTGGTCCTGCTTCTGATCGAAGGAAACAACGGCATAAACATACACTCTTGGCGCTCCGCACGGATATATGTCTTGGATCCGCGCTGGGCCCCGCCCCCGGCGGCGCCTCCGGCGCCGCGCCTGGCGCGCTCCGCGCGCCAGGGAGGGGTACCCAGCGCAGATCCAAGAAATCCGCGCGGAGCGCCAAAAGTCTATGCGTCTGCCGTTTTTTCTTCTTCTGTCTGAGTGCCGCGCTCGCGTGCACACTCGCCACCTCGCCGTGCAGGGCGGTGCGGTCTGACGCGCGCTGCACAGCGACGGCAGGCAGCTGGTCGCTGTCGTTCGTCCGTCGGCCCCGCCCTCGCCGTCGCTGTGCGCCGTCGCCGTCGTGCCGGTGGCTGCCGCGCCGCTCTCGCTGCCTGGGCCTCGCGCCCGTTTCGGGGCGCGCGCGAGGCCAACCTCGAGCTGAGTCGGGCCTGTCCCTCTACAGGGGGAAACTTCAACAATGATCCAAAAATAGTATGGGGATGATGTTTTGACAATTTTAATTTTTGTTTGCGCATTTTTGGGGTATTGATTCTTGTTCGTCCGAAATCTCCCTGCAGGGGGACAGGCCCGACCTAAACCTAGAGTCTTCACTCGGAACAAAAGGAGCTTCTTTCCTCATTTATCGATCCTTAGGTCAGGCCGGATCCTGCAGAGTCCCAGAATCCCGGCGTCCGCCAGGTGACCCAGGTCACCACCCAGCCCTGCGGCTCCGCGCCCGCCGGCTTCATCTGCTCGAACGGCGGCGCCTGCGACGCAGGCGCGCTTTCTGCGCGCTTCCCTTGTGGGGAGGCTGGCCCGCCGCTCGGGGGGGGTGGGGGGGGTTAAGTCGGGCGTGTGCCTCTACAGGGGGAAGGTTCAAACATAGTCCAAAAATAGTCTGGGGACGATTTTTGATTATTTTGTTGACTCTTTGAGGGTATGTCTGACTATTTTTAATGTTTCGCCCCGGATCCGCCTGTAGGGGGGCTAACGCCAGCATCCTCTGCTTTCATGGGCTTCGCCAATATTTTCTCTGCGTGTCGACGACGCCTCCGGCGAGTCACCGCCGCCCCTGGCCTCTATGGCATCGCCAGTGTGGAGGTGGTGGTGGTGAAATATCGGGCGACGGTGCTGCCACTGCCGCGGACTGCGTGTTTCTGAGCGCTCGAGAAAGTCACTGGGTGAACAAAGTGGAGGTGCTGCCTGGGGTCATCTTGGGGCTCTCGTGACGCTCTTGTCGGGTCATTCGGGTGCTCTTAGGGGCTTCTTGGGGCTCTCTTGGGCCACCTTGGGGCTCTCTTGGGCTGTCCTTAGTGTGCTCTCGGGCCGCCTTGCGTCTTGGGAGGCGGTCTTGGTGGCCCATCTGGACCACTTCAGCCCCTCTGAAGGGCCGTGTCTCGCCTGGGAGCCCCCAGGTTGCGGCCCCCTCGAGAGCTTCGAGAGCTCCCCTGAGGGACTCTGCCTCTCGAGGATTTTCCTCCGCCATAGGGTCTCAGCGTTTTTCGCTCCCGAAGGCTTCCACCTCTGCCCCCTCCTCCTCTGTCTCTAGCGCTGCTGTGCTTGAGGGAGTGCGCTCACGCCCTCGAGCAGAGGTCGCCAGGTCTTTTGAGGAGGGGAACAGTGCTGCCGACACGGACATCTCTGATTGAGGTGGCGCATTATTTTCAGCGATGTTGATGTCAAAAGAAGCCCATCTGGACCGTCTTGGCGACACTATTGGGACTGTTTAGCACAGTCTTCGGACTCGCAGGCCGTCTTGGGGACTTGTTCGGCCGTCTTGGGGTCCCCTTGGGCCGTCCCGGCTGTTGGCCTCCGTGGGCAGTCTTGAGGCGATGCTGGTGGCCCCTCGGGCCGCTGGGGGCCGTCGCAATCCCGAGAAGGTTCGAATACCACAATCTTTCAAACTCCAAGTAGAAATCACCAGGAGGGAAACAACACACACAGATACAGTTAACCGTCGATTTCCCAGAACATACGGGAAACTGTGGGAAGTGGGGGGGAAGACAGAAACCGATAGAATATTGAAAAAGATTGGGAATCCTGTTTTTTGTGTCTATCTAATTGTGTGTCCCAGGACCCCTTCAAATCAACGAGGTTGGCCTCTTGGAAGCCTGCCAGGTCCTCTCGGTGGTGGCCTCTTGGGCCGTATCTGGGACTTTGGGGCGGTCTTGAGAACCTGTTGGGGCCATACCGGAATCACATTGGGCGAACGTTCGGCCTCTAAGTCAAGTTTGAACCGTCTTGGAGAACGTCTTGGCCACGTGGCAAGCCGAAGGGGGCGGCGGATCGCCTGTGTGGCCAGACGGTGGGCTTGAGTTTGGTAAAGGTATTGGGCAATGTGTGACCCCAGCCCTCGCAGAAACTCTTTTCGGGAACATGCGGGGGGAAAGAGAGGAGGAGGAGGCGGAGGAGGAGTAAGAGGTCTCTTGGGGGTGTTGGCCTTTTCAGGGCTTCCTGGAGGCTGGAGGCGTACTGAGAGCCTCTTTGGGACCTCTGAGATGCCTCTTGGGTACCTCTTGAGAGCCTCTCGTGGGCCTCTTGGGGGCCTGAGTGGCCGTCTTGGGGCTCTCTTGGCACATGACGCCTTGGGGGTGTCTGGAGGGCTTCTGGGGCTGCCTTGGGGCCCTTCTGGGGCGCTTGGGACGCTCTTGGGATTCTCTTGGGCCGTTGTGGGGCTGTCGCGGGCCGTCTTGGGGGCCTCGGGTGCCGCCTTTAAGGCCCGTTTGGCCCGTCGTGGGGGCCTCTCTGGGCGTCCGGAGGGAGTATTGGAGGCCCCTGGGGCAGTCTTGGTCGGAGGGAGCGCGAAGATCCTTCAACTCTTTTTCGGAACATCACTGGTGCTGGTCTACTCGGACCCTCTGGTCCTCTCGGAGGCCTGATCTGAACCGCGTGTCTGCAATGTTCCCCGGATCCGGAATAGGAGGGGGAGGAGGGAGGAGGAAGGAGGATAATGGAAGTCCGATGATCGAGTGTTGGATTTGTTGGCTATGCTTTGTGTTGTTCTATGTTGACCCGTGAGGTCTACAGAGACTTCGGGAACATTTTGAGCTCTCCTCGGAGGATGGAGGTGGATTGGTCGAGGGAGGAGGTTTTCTGCAGTCTCGGGGATCCTCGGAAACTTGTGTTCCAGTTGTTTCCAAACGGTCCTAGGGGATTGTACATATTTTGGGCAGTTCTCTGATGTTTTCCTATGTTGTAGGCGTCTCCAGCGGTTTCCGCGTCAATGGGGCGGGGAAGGGAGAATGGAGGAAGAGAGTGGATGAGGGGAACGGAATTGGGATTCGTGAGGAGAGATGGCGAAGAAGGAGTGGGGACGAGGAGGTGTGGACGGGGTCTTCTCGCGGGAGGGCACATCAAATGGAAGCTTTGACTGCTGGATGTTCGCACGAGGGAGGCTGGAGCAGGTGACGGGGGTGCAAGGTGGGGGCTCGCACGGAGAAGTTCATGAGGTCATACACATCGTCTTCCGCCCCCTTCATCTGCCTCGTCTCACCCTTCCTCTTCCCTCTTCTCCGCCCCCTCCTCCTCCTCATCGTTCATTCTCTTCCGCATTCTCATCATAGCCCCCTTCCCTTATGCTCAGTCTACTGACCGTCGGTCTCCCCATTTCGAGTATTCCAGGACCTGTTAGAAGAGGCCGTGCTTCTGAAAGCATTACTTCTCCCCTCGTCCTCATCATCCTCGACCTGGTCCTGATTCCTCTCAGCCGCCTCCTCCTCGTCGCCACAGCCAGACGCGGCTTGGAAAACGGAGCAGAATGGCGCCCATGAGGAAGAGGAGGAGGAGGAGGAGGAGGAGGAGGAGGAGGAAGAGGAGCAGGAGCAGGAGCAGGAGCAGGAGCAGGAGCAGGAGCAGGAGCAGGAGCAGGAGCAGGAGCAGGAGCAGGAGCAGGAGCAGGAGGAGGAGGAGGAGGAGGAGGAGGAGGAGGAAGAGGACACCTCCCTGCCTCTCATGCTGCTGGTCCTCCCCTCCCGCCCCGCGTACCTCACTTTCCCCCTTCGTTTCGGCCATATGCTTCTCTTGAGTAGGGCTGAGAGTCAGAGAGCGCCCTCCTCCGCAGGACCACCGTAAAGAGGACGTCAAGGGTGTGCATCAAGGGTGGGCGTCAAGGGGTTCCACCCAGGGGGGGCGTCGAGAGGTTCCATCAAGGGGGGCGCCTCAAGCGCGCGGTTTTAGCGCGCAGAATGGTTGCACCCCTTGGTGCCCGTTCCGGGGCGCCTGCAGACCTGACCCTTCGGCCCTGCACCATCTCTCTCCTCCCCACCCCTCCGAACCAAGAGCCCTCTGCCCCCCCCTCGCTGTGTCCCTCGGCCTGGCCCCGTGTCCAGACGGGCGCGCGTGCTGACCCCTTGGGCTGCTGCGCGATGTCCGGCTGCCCGCGGCACACGCCGCCGACGCGCAGGGAGGCGGCCGTGCCCAGCGCGCGCCCTGCGCGAGGAAGGGCAGGGCGGCAGAGCCGCCCACGCCGCCGGCGGCCTGCTCGCGCCGCCCCGGCTGCGGCGGCGACGCCCCCGCGGGCGCGCGAGCTGTCCGTAGGATGGCGGCACGCCGTGCTGGCGCATCATTTTTTCGGTCGCGGCCGCGAGACGACGGTCAGGCGGCAAGAGCAAGGGTCCGAGACGCGAACTAAGCGAATTAGCTAAGACAGGGTGCTAGCGCATCAGCGCAGCAGGGGGGAAGTGCAGGACCCGCTCCGGCTCAGAGCCCCGAACTTGGCGCGGGTCTTGATCGCCCTCCTCCCTGTCCCCAGCCCTGTCCTCCTCATCAATTCCTCCCTCTTGACAAGTGTCCACAACCATTCAACCTGAACCTCCCGTTGTGCTACGCCTTGAAATCTGATTACGGGGTTACCCCAGAGGCTTGTGCCTTATGCCAATCTGCCGATCCCTCGAATGAAGACAGGGCGAATGTAATCTGGGTTGCATGGGATGCCCGAGTATATTAGAGCGTTGGAGGACGACGAAGAGATATGATACCAATGAGCGACATGTCGGCATAGGGGAGGGGGAGAGTGCGCAGGATGTTTGGAAGTCTTTGTGAACATCTCAGTTTTGGGCCCTCACTTGGGACCTTCTTGTGGTGAATAGTGTCCTGCTCGAGGGATTCAAGAAGCAAGATGATGTAGACGCAAATGAGGAATATGGACTGTGACTATGATGAGGATGAGAAGGAGGAGGAGGAACAAGAGGAGCAGGAGCAGGATAAGGATGAGGATGACTGCCGTAGTGTGAGTAACGGAGATGAGGGGTTGTGAGAGCAGTAGCTTCGAACGGCCAACCATGATATTACATTCCAGCATTATCAGCGGCAGAGACGTCATCTACAGAGACCAGGCAGAGGGAATCACAGCAGCCCCCAGAGTGGAGCTAGCACGCAAATCTCCCGATGAGTCAGTGTTGGGATGGTTGGTCTGGACACATGTGTGACCGAACATGAGGGCCCCTCTTGCGACTCTCGCAGGGCATCGTAGGGAGTTTGTTTGATGCACTGGGGCTCATTGGGGCCTCATGGGACCATCTTGATGTCCCTTAGGGGTCTTGGGGTCGTTTTGGAAGGTTTGGGGCCGCATGTGAGAGTGGCTGGATCGTGTTGGGGAGGTCTTTGGCCGTTCTGGACTTATCTGGGATCCGTCTTTCTGGCCAGTTGAAGGCCTTTGGGGTAGCAGCAAAAATGATGATACGCCTGGGGGGTGTTGATGAATGTGGGCGTCTGAACTCCATCCTTGGACATACGTCAGCTTTCTTACGGTCTCTTAGTGCCTATTGAATGATGTTTGAGGTCTTGCGGCCATGCTGGATTCATTATGGTGCCGACTTGAATGGCGTTTTGAGCATCTCGTATTCGTCCGAGTGGATTTGGAGACTCTGAGGGCCCAGACGGTGCGTCGAGAAGCTCGTCGCCCCCCTCTCGGGGGGGGGGGGGCTAGAGGAGGCTTTAAACGTGATGTTGTATCCCCGGTAGGGGAACGGGGGAGGGGGGACAGCCGAACACCTCACACGCCTTCTCACCTCTAGCAAGCGGGGGTTGGCAGCTTTGAGGCTTGTGGGGGCCCCTTTCGAATGCATGCTGGGTGCCTTTTGGGCGCCTTGGGGCCGTCTTGGGTGCCTTGGCTGTGCCGGGCTCACCCGAATCGACTCGGTTGAGCTATCCCAGAAATTCTTTCAGAAGCTTTACCAGACAAGTACCTGGTATTCCATACCGCCCCCACGTGGCCACGGCGTAGTGGCAGTTGTCGTGGGATACCGTGCCGCCAGATTTGTACTTTAGAGGTTGGCATTCGGCAAGAGAGAAAAAGGAGGGGGAGGGCAAGGGCTTCGCTTTATTTGAAGGACACAATCCACGTCTTCAGGTCTTGAAGGAGGAGGGGGAGGAGCAGAAGGATGAGAAGGAGGGGGAGGGGGAGGGGGTGTAAAGGAGGCCGGGAGGAGGAGGAGGACGGAGAGCAAAGAGAGGAGCAGGAAGGAGTGATTAGAAGGACGAGGAGGTGCTAAGAGGTAGGAGGTAGGAGGAGGAGGAGGAGGAGGAGGAGGAGAAGGAGGGAAGGAGGAGAAGGACAAGGACAGCTTACCAGAGTAGTGAGTGAGCTGCAGTCAAACTTTCCGGACAGGCTCCAAGCTCATCACGCCGTTGGCGGATGCCGGCAACAGGCGACGGGCTGACGAACGAGCAAATCAGCGAGTCATCGCCACCGTGCCAGATTGATACTACGGTGACCTAGGTGAGCATAATACTTCGCATGTGTTTCGCAGTATTTCCACACACACACACACTCACCCGCGCTCCGACTGTTCGGAATAAATCAAGACATCTGTTTCGCATGTCTCTGCCCCTGTTGGCTTTTCTCGGGCAACCAATATTCGGGATACAGATCGGGTCCGCAGGCGGTGCCAAGTGACCCTGAACCCACGTAACGGAGAAACGAGACATTGGAGATTGGGGTCGCAATCTCTTTGTTCGCCATTGTGGGCTGCGTCTCTGCAGGACCCCCGCGCCATGCGAAAGGGCAAGGCCGCACACACTCATTTGCAAACGACCCCCGATAGGATACGGCAGGTTGGTGCCACCTCGACTCGGAGTGGAGTCCATCGCGGATGAGCGCGCTTTCGTCGCAGACCTTGCGACTCCAGAAAGCCCGAGCATTTTCTTTGGGTGAAGGGCAACGGGTTAAATCTGACATGCCGTTTCGATGGATTTTCGAGGCTTGAATTTGCACAAGGTGAATCACAGGACGGATTGATTTTCGAGGCGCCCAAGCCCATATGGATGTCACCCTGAGCCCTCCACCCTCAGAACATGCGCAGGAACCCCCCCACGGCGCAAAATCAATACAACAGTTGGGGGCGAGAGCTTCTAGGCCCTTCCCAGGAGTCAGACCGCTCAAGGTTGAACTGTTCACGCGGCGTTAGAAGCCAGAGCTGGCGCCGTCAGGGCAGGAGCCTGATGCATGACAGTGTGTTGTAAGTTTCATCCCTCTGGAGGTCTGCAGACGCCTCTAGAGGCACCGCAGATGTCCTTTCTCGAGTCCCCTTTCCGCTTCCCTCGTCGGGTTCGCCCCAGGCAGATCTATTTCCCCGCGACCTCCAATTTGCTTACTGGGGATACCTTTTATCCACGGACGGTCGCCGCGTGCTATTGTCCCGACCGAGCAGATTGTACGTCTGTTGGAAGCTTCGTCCAGCAGATCGGCATATTGAATTACTACCTGAGTAAAGTGTGCCACTACCTCGACACCAGCTGCGAGAGTGACTATACAGGCTTCGGTGGGAGGAGAAGGACGAGGAGGGGGAGGAGAAGGATGAACTGCAGGAGGCGGAGGAGGAGGACTAGGAGAAGGAAGAGGAAGAGGAAGAGCAGACGGGAGGAGGAGGAGGAGGAGCAGCAGGACGAAGAGCAGGAGGGAGGAGGAGGCAGGAGGGGGGAGGAGGGAGGAAATAGGAGGAGGGAGGCAAGAGGAGTGGGAGGCGTGGGAGGAGGAGGAGGAGGAGGAGGAGGAGGAGGAGGAGGAGGAGGAGGAGGAGGAGGAGGAGGAGCAGCTGGAGGCCTCTCCCAGACTGCATTTCCCACGCCCCCGCTGCGCTGGCCGCCTTCCCAAACCAGGCGCGCACGGGAAGCCGACAGTCGCGCCGGGCAGCGGCCTTGCCCTGCGCGGGCGCTCGGCGGAGGCTGCGCCCACACGGAGCAAGTCCACACGGAGTGCTCGGTCCCCGCATAGGCTCTTGCTCCGTCTGGACTCGGCCTCTCCCGAGGGCGCTCCAGTCGTGCAGCCCAGCCGACTGCAGTACACCGCGCCACCCTGCCAGCGCACCAGCGCAGCCCGAAGGAGGTTGAGTTCAAGAACCGCGCCAGCTCAGCGGCCCCGAAAATCGCGCCAGATGCTTGGAGAGGGCTTGCAGTCCGGGGCTCAAGAGACGGAGGTCAACGCAAACGGAGGTCAGGATGGATGGATGTGGCAGAGGGAGGGATCGCCAAGGATGGTCGCAGAGTGCCTCCTCGCACGTCTGTGGCTCCAGTGGCGGTTACAGGAGGGAAGACGGAGGAGGGAGGATGCCAGTCGGGCTCAGTTTCGCGGGTCGGGAGCCTTGAGACGGGAGTCTTTGCAAACGGGGGTCAGCCAGAGAGCTGGATCTTGCAGGATTTTGCAGAGCTAGGGGTGCATTGACCTGGGCTTGGGCGCAGGAGGATGCAGGATTCAGTAGGATCCTGCAAAGCCTGACTGACCCGGATTCGGATGGACCCGGGTCTGTAGAACCCCCAGCAGTCCAAGAGAGCCGCAAGATTGCACAATAGGGTCCCGATAGGGCCCGAAGGGATTCCCATCAAGGGGGCCCGAGAAAGCCCCCCAGAGACACCCCAAAGGGGCCCAGGAGGCCTCCATAAGCCCCCAAGAAGTTCGAGGCCCCTAAGAGGCTTTCCAAGGAAGGCCCTCCACAGAAAAGCTGATGAGGATGGAGAAGGGTTCTCAGGGTAAAGCGAGAATGAGGAAGAGGACATGCGAGAGCTATTATTACGACTGCGACGAAAACGTCGACAACGAACGATCGTTGTTTCACAATTCGATTGCCCACTCTCTATATTTTTCCGTCCGCAGGCTGATTTTAACAACCAAAGGTGCATGGCGCACAGAGCCAATGCAGTCTTGCCCGTGTATACACACGCACACTTGTTACTATGCATGTATACATCTGTATATGTGTTTATATATGTATGCACACTGAAACCATCGCGCGCTTCGCGCGCGCTCAAGTTCTAGCTAGGCTTGATAGGCTAACTCATGTAATATCATGTTAGCCGCTTCTTGCGTCCAGGGATTCCCTTGGAGGCCCTGCGCAAGCCTCGGAATCGTATAGAAGGGGAAGTGCGGAAACGCAGAAATCATTATTTTTGTTTTAGGTATTCAACGATTTGGGGCCTTCAAAGGTTTCCTGGGTTCTTTTTTGGGAGGTGAGGGGGGTCTAAATGGTGGTCTGTTGTGCAAGAGTAGACCGGGGGTCAAACTATAAATCAACATGTGGGATTCCCATTTTTTCCAGTTCCTCGGCGCTGTTCCGCGCTGTTTTTTGTTTGTGTCTCGCGGGTTTTGTTAGCCGGGCCCCTCAGTGGTGCGGGATCTTCCGGACCCCCTGGGGGTTCTGGAGGCCTCCTGGAGGCCTGGAGAGCCGTCGAAAGGGTGTCTCGGGCTGCGCGGGAGCGTGTTGGGCCGTTCTTTACATTCTGGGGGCTCCTTGGGGTCGTCCTGGGCTGTCATTGGGCGTCTTGGGGGCCCCCCGGGAAACCGCGAGGCGCGGTGCCGGCCAGATGTCAGGCGATGTGTAGGACCCCCGAGTAGGAGTCCCCTTTTGACAAAAACAGGGAATTCTGGGAATTCACGAAAAACACTAGAAAAACCTTTCTCTGGAAATCAACGATTTTACCCTCTTTGGGCTCTCTTGGTACGGCTCTCGCAGCTCTCTTGGGCTGTTCTTGGAGCCTCGTCGGGGTCTTTGTGGGGCCTATCAGGGATCAGGGGTGTGTTGGGGGCCTCTGGGTGGTCCCGGAGGCCTCTCGGAGGTCTCTGGAAGCCTCCTGCTCCCACTCTTGGGCCCATCTTGGGCCTGTTCTGGGGTGGCTTGGGGCTGTCCTGGGCGCCTTTTCGGCAGTCTTGGAGGCTTCTTGGCCTGTCTTGGGGCTGTCCTGAGGGTCTCTTGGATGGTCTTGGGGCGGTCTTGGGAGCCTCTTCGGCACTCTTGGACCGCATTGGAAACTCGAAAACGCGAGAAGCCAAAAACATGGAAACAGAAACAATGAACATCGACGATGTTGGCCTCTTCGGACCGTCCCGGGACGCCTCTCGGACCTCTTTTGGGGTCTTTTGGAGGCCACCTGGGAGCCTCGAGAGCCGTCGGAAGGCTGACTTTGGCTTGGCAGCGTCTTGGGCCATCCTTTCGCATTCTGGGGGCTCCTGGGAGGCGTCTTGGGCCCTCCTGGAGCGCTGTGGAGGCTCCCCTGAAAGGCCGGGGGATCGGTACGGGGAGCGTTCCCGAGATGTGGCGGGGAGGTGTGGGAGCCGGGGCCGGGGGGGGCGGTATTTTTTAATCTTAGATATGTATGTACACTTTAAACGGAGAGGGTTAAAGGCGAGATGTATATCGAGCATGCACCGCTGCCGTGCCTGGCTCAAGCCGGGCCCGGCCTAACATGTGATTGTGCCTCATTGAGGCGCACTACTTGCATCTGAGATCGGAAAAGACCTTTCTATTGACGATGCCCCTTCTATCCTTTACTCCAGATCCCATGCTTCATCTTGCTCTCTTGCTCATGCGATATGAGACAAAGCCTGGGATATGGGAGCGCCTAAGGCGGAACATATATCTTGGCTTACCAGTGCGTTTTCGACTTGGTAGCGGAGCTGGCTACACTCTCGTGTGGCTGGCTCTCGCTCTAATACCTGTAATCCACGGCACAACTTGGTGGACTACTACTACGGTGGAATACCATGTTGCGCCGGCTCTGCGAGGAGCGGAGCCAGTCCGCGATCGAGCTAGCGGGGCGACCCGCGAGCTCGAGACGCTCTCTCCTACTTCACTGCGCTACTTCACTCCCGACTTCCACCAGATGCCAATCGGCAACTCGATCGAGAACGTGGTCACTCTGCGGGGCTACCCGCAGCGGGGCCACCTGCATCCCGTGCCGGTCAGGCGCCTTACGGCTACTACGCCCGAGCCTGACAAACCACAGCCTAAACCAATCACCGAAGCCGAGATGCACATGCACTGGATTAAGATAACTATCTTCGGCATTCTATGGGTGATAATGGGATGTGCTGTGGGCTACATGCGGCAGGGGATGGACGACACGCGTACTACCGGCCCTTCGTGGGACCCAGCCGGTACTACGCCCTTTCGCGAGTACGTTCGCGAAGTACATGCATGGATAAACGTAACGAGCGGCAATATGACGCCACCTCAGCAAGCTGCAGCACTACAACGTGGCCTTCAAGGCCTTGCTCGTCGTATCGCCATGCAGGTCCCCTCCCAGATCATCAACTATGGTGTAACTGTCAACGGACAGCCAACGGATGCAGTTACTTATATACTGTACCTATTGAGCACCAAATTTGAAAATCTGGAAGATGAGCGCCAGCTCAACTCTGGCACTGCCCTTATCGACTTTCGCGTCGAAAGGGGCGAGCGAATCGACTCAGTGTTAGCTCGATTCGAGATGGCCCGTGACGAGGCTAACTCTGTTGGTTTGTCATCCCCAATTTTCAGATCCTAACGCTGATCCTTTTCAGAGCGTTAGGCGTTGGCGCGTCACGAGCCCAACACCTGCTGGAGCCCTTTAATCATCAGATGCCCAGAACACAAGCAGACTATGACAGGCTGCTGACCAGGATGAGGAACTACGGGCATGTTGCCGAGCGCTCTCCTGGCAACATTGCGGGTATCTTCACAGGGCACCACTCACATGCAGGTGTCTACGCCACGACTGCGGGGTCACCCGCTGGTCCTGGCGAGCCAAGTCCCTGGGCTGATCCAGCCGATATGCTTAACGAGGCCACTGCCCTCTTAGGGCAGGCCGGCCAGGCATCGGCAGAGGCAGCGGAGGCGAACGCCTGGTCGAACTACACGCCGGGCGCCGCCTACACTGCAAGCCCGCCCTCGGGCACAACCCTCTGGGGCCAAGCGGAGTCATCCGCTCAAGGGTCTCAGCCACCCTCTCCGTTTGAATCTGGCACTGACACAGATACCTCATCTGACGATGAGCACAATGGCATAGTCTCTGCTGGCAATGACTATCCAGCTGATGACACTCACCTTTCTGAACAACAAAGAGCGGAAGCCGCTTTTATGGCTTATCGCAAATCAAAACGCCGTTGGAGGCGCTTTATGAAGAAACCAGTCAGAAAAGTGAGACGTGCAGTACGCCGACATTTCAAACGATATGGAAAGGGTCGTGGCAAAGGGGGTCGCAGACGTCGTATGCATGGTAGGGGTATTACTGCTTTCCTCACGTCCTTAACTGATATAGTTTTTGAAGAAGTTCTTATCGGAGGCAAAGGTCGGGGTCGCAGGCGGACCTCTGGTAAGGGAAAAGGGCGGAGGGGCAACCCTAGGGACGCTTCTGGCAATACTATGAAGTGTCATACATGCGGTAGTACAGAGCATTTGCGCGATCAATGCCCGAAAGGGAAAGGAAAGGGATCCGTACATTTGGCTCAAAACTCTTTTATGGATGACATAGACTACATTGACTACGAGTTTTACGTCAATCCAGA